TTACAAACTCTTTTGGTTATTAATTTGCTAAGGGCCTTGAGCCATGAAAATCTATGAAAAATTGACACGTACTCAAATCAGGGCAATACATCTTCACATCCAAGATATGGTGCAATATGAAAGTCTTAAATATTTAACATAATGCTATGCCATGTAATTACATGTATGGCATTATCTTTAATAGGAGCTGATTAATGAGCGTGACATAAAGCAAGGATGAATATTAGCTACTCAGACACTGATGTTCAGATAGCCACCTGAAAAGTCATTTTTCTCCATGTCCTATTCCTTAAGGATTATAGAAATGTCAATTGTTTTTGCAGAGTTTCCATTTCAAGAAGCAGTTATTCATAATCCCCAGAGAACTCTTCCCTAACAGACTACAATAAAACTTAGAATTAATGGCAGTGACATTTTAGACCTAAATTACTACCTTCACAGTTTAAATAATTATCCTGCTAAGTCTGTGCAAGGGACTTTCAATTTTTTCACTTCATTCCTGGCTTCTCTCTTATCTCCACTGTTTGCCCAGTTTCCTGTCCTTTACAAGTGAATACAGGAGCCTGAAATTTTAACTTTCCCCTTAAAATTCTCCTGCTTGTTAACAGTTCCTTTATGGTAATTCATCTAAAATAGTTTTTCAACAAACTCTTCTCAAAGGTCGTCTCTGGCTGTCTATTTCCTTCTTCATTTTGGCACTGGAGCTGCTATGCACTGGCCCATTCTAGTATTTATATGTTTCCTCATCTGTCTCTGTTTCTTTACTTTATTCCTCAAAGATGACTCTCTTTATTTTTTAAGTGGAATTTATTTTTTAGGGTAGTTTTAGGTTCACAGCAAAACTGAAGAGAAGGTACAGAGATTTACCATATACTCCTTGCCCCCACACATGCACAGTATCAACATCTGCCACCAGAGTGGTACATTTGGTACAACTGGTGAACCTACATTGACATATCATTGTCATCCAGGGTCCTAGTTGACGTTAGGGTTCACTCTTGGTGTTGTACATTGTACGGGCTTGGGTAAATGTATAATGACATGTATACACCATTATAGTATCATGCAAAGTAGTTTCACTGTTCTAAAAATCCTCTGTGCTCCCCATATTCAGCCCTCCCTCTTCCTGTCAATTTTTTAATAAATGATTGTTGAGTGCCTGCTATCAACTGGGAATGGACTAGTCACTTAAAAAACAAACTAAAGATAAGGTTCCGTGTCATTAAGAATCTTATCATCTGTTGGGAAGCCAGTTACATAAACAAATGACTTAATAAACTAAATTGCTTTAATGAGGTTGTATATCAAGGTTGATGGGCCATAGGAGAAATGGGGCTCATGAGTCCACCTGGGGAATGTAGAGAATACTTCCCAACAGGCGTATCTTCTCTAGGAGAAGTGTACTGGTATGCAGTGTGGGGAGGGGTTGATACAGAGGTGCCAGAGGATGGCATCTAAGTTGAGAAGATGGCACGTGCAAAGGCCCAGCAGCTCTGGAGGACAAGACATGCTCAGGGTGACCACAGTAGTTTAGTATGTTTGAACAATTGGCTGTGAGGTAGGGTACAGAAGGAGATGAGACTTGGAAGGAAGGCAGGGGAAAAGATCATGAAAGGTCTTGAATATCATGGAAAAGGAGTTTATCTTGGAGGCACTGGGGAGTCACTGAAGAATTTTGAACAGTGTACTGATATGATCAGACTTTTATGTTAGAAAAATCCTGATGGGTGGAAGATGGATTAGAGGGCAGCGAGATCGGAGGCAAGAAACCCCAGTGAGGATGCTTTCATGGTACTTCATTCGGGAGACACTGAGAGCAAGAAAGGGGCAGTGGGGAGGAGATAGAGAAGACAGACTATGAGGTACACAGGATTTGGTAATTGATTAGATTTGAGGCAAGAAAGAGAGAAGTTTCTGGCTTGGTCAACTTGACATTTATCAAGATAGAGAAGAGAGAAGGAGGAGCAGTTTTTTGGAGGTGATGGGGAAGAGGAAAGATGTGTTTGGCTTCTAATATAGCAAGTGTGAGGAGCTGCTGGAACATTCAGGTGGGAATGTTGAGTAGAGAGGGGGCTCCTCAGATCTGGAACTAAGAAGAGAATGCTGAGCTAGAGGTGTTGATTTGGGAGTTATGCTTGTGGGTGGGTGTGGTAAGTAAGAATGAGCAAAGTGGGTAAGTAAGTATGAGTAGAGTTGAGTAAGAAGAATGAGAAGACGAGAGGGAGAATGAAAGAGCCCCAGGCTGCAGACATCATGAGAATTCAACCCTAAGTGTTTCAACTTTTGTCTCTTAAGAACAATGAGATTCTGTTAGACAACCATGACATCATTTTTACACAAAGAAAATCCACATTACTTCAATAACTTTAAAAATCTTGTTCATACTCAAATTCCCAAAACTGTTCTTTAAGATGTTTCTTAAAATCCAGGCTCCAATCAAGTTTCATACATTGCATTTGATTTTGCATTGTTACATTTCTTTAGTCTCAGTCTACATTTTGTAGTCACTTTGTAGTCTACAAAGTGATACATATTATGAGTCTCTCATCTTTAAAATACAGCTTAATGTACATCAACTTTGCAGCTATTTATTCTAGTTTTTTCCTTTATTTTATTTTCCCATGGAAACCTGTGTGGCAAATAGCTTGTTCTGAGTGAGGCCTGGTCTGATTTGGTGAAACCCAAAGCCTTTGGTCAATCTGTTCACTGACAGGACTACTTTCCTATCTCACCAACGATTACCCCCTAAAATTCTGATGGATAAACCAGTGTTTAAGGGACAGACAGAGAAAGTTGCCTGAGAAGGCTAAGAAGGAGCAGCCAGAGGGAGAGGAGGTGACCCAAGAATGAGAGAATGCTTGTATCAGTTAGGACTCTTTCGCTGGCAAGTAACAGAAGCCAAATGCTAAATGACTGAAGAGAAAAAGGGAATGTAACCTAAAGATACAGGGGTAGTCAGGTGTGTAGGTATAGTCATATGACTGGAATTTGTGACTAGGACGTTATGGGAAACCCAAGAAATTGTTTTCTTTTTCCTCTTTATTCAAAAATTCTGAGGGAAGTCACTGATTGGTATTGCTTGTCACTGATTGGTGAGGCCCACCCCTGGGCTGACCAACCACAGTGGGGAAGTAGAGGCATGTGAATATACAAACATGGTGGCTGGGGCTCACCACCCATGTTTGAACGTTTCCTAGAGAAGGAGAAATCGTTCACCAGGCTCTGAGAGGGGTTTATCATTGTTGTGTCTAGATATTTGAGGAAAAGTTTTAGGATATGGGGATGGGTCACTGTGAGATACAGCAGGAGGTCAAATGAGACAGAAAAAAGTACCCAGTGGGTTTGGCATTTAGGATGTCAGAGGTAACTTTAGCAGGATTAGTTTTAGTGGAGTGAGGGCAGTAGATCGAGGAGAGAATAGGAAGTAGGGAACACAGAGGTCTGTATTCTAGAAGCTTACTTTGAAAGGAAGGAGAGGTGTCCACTAGCAGCTAAGGTCTAAGGTAGAAAAGACTTGCTAAAGCGAAGATTCCTTGCCTGGGCTCCATGAGCCTCAGAATCTTTCAACCCTTTAGAAACGACACACAAAACATGCCTGCTTCTCAAAGAGATCTGTGACCCATAGACTTAAGAACCACTGCACTAAAGGAAATGTGGCAATAGAAAGGGAGAGGTGAAAGAAATAGGAGAGATGATGGTTGGCTTGAGCATGTCTGTGAGGAAGGGGCCAGGTGGGAGCCAGAACTCAAGGGGAAGGATTACTCTTGTTGCAGAGAGGATGGTTGGTAATTTTTTCTGCTGAGGCTGGGGGAAAGATGTGAAATCCATTGCAGCTGCCGCCATGTTTGTGTGTAGGGTGGCAGAGAACCACAAGCATTCCACTGTTCTCTCTTTTGTTCTTGGTCCATCTTGGCCTGGCATCTGGATAAAAGCCCTTTTTATAGATAGCTGGCCAAGAGCTGGTCATAATCTGTTCTCTTTCTTAGGCTTGCCATTGGGGTGTCTGCCTCCAGATCGCTCCCGACTGATGTGCCTTGTCACTTGTGCCTGAAATGCACGGTGAGTTAGAACCTCAGCTGTGCTGGAGCTGTCCCCGGCCCTGCCCCTAAGATCTTCTACGGATCATTTCTTACTCCTTGTAGGTGAAACTGACAGATATGAACAGGTAATTGCACTTTTCCCCTCCCTAAAGGTGAGCCGCATTCAGAGCTTTCCCCCATTTGGGGGCTTCCTGTGTTTGTCTCCTGAGGAAGACTGAGTCGATAGGCACCATTCAAGAGAGTAGGTACTTATGTGGGTGGCTATTTATTGGAGATGTTAATTTGCAGTGAGTGACTTTGTTTCTTAAATGATCTGGAGCCAGAAGGCAGGGAAAGGATGGCCTCTGGGCCAGGGACTTGGCATCGGGAATCTGAACTTCTTTTCTCGTGGAATGATCTCAGCTTAGTTTTTTACCCATGCCTTAATTTACCATCTTCAAAAGCAAATAATATTTCCTATTTAAGTTAATGGCAGACTGTGTCTGTTGACGTTTCTGAGAGGCACCTGAGAACAGACTGTTGAACACATTATTGCTAAAGGGCGAGCCTTATAAGGCTTATAATCCTCTTAAGCCACTCCCATGATCTGAATGTTCCGCATGTTGCAATTGTGGAAGAACCGGTTTCTGAAAGAAAAGCTTAGTGACATTCCTTAGAAAATGTTACTCATGGATAATACTCACATACCAGAGAGAGTGTAGCAACTTTTAATTTAAGGGCATTTTTGATATAAGGGCATTTATTTTCGTACTTTTGATGCTCATAAACTCTCGAAGCTGGTATCCTTTCTGTACTACTGAGAGTTTCTTTAAAAATAATTTAATGACACTAAATCAGTGATCACTAAGCAACCTGGGACCTGGCTGTACTTCTTTTCTTTTAATGTTGTATTAAATTTATTCTTTTTTAACTTTTAAAAATTGTGGTAAAATATACGTAACGGAAAATATACATACTTACCGTAACCATTTTCAAGCCTACGTTTCAGCGGCATCAAGCACATTCACATTGTTGTACAACCATCACCGCCATCCATCTCCAAAATTAGTTGTTCTTCTTTAGAAATGAAAGTAAACGATCTGTTTGTTGGCTTCAGGGTTCCTTCTGCTGCGCATCTGTAATAGGGTGGCAGGCTGAGTAACCCTTGGCTTCTGGAAAGCCTCTTATTTCTGAAGAATGGTTCTGAAATAAAATGAAAAGGTATGAAGACAAGAGTCCTCCAATAAACACCGACCTTGTCAGGGTCCGCTGTAGTTTAGGATTGCTATTGCGTCTCAGCCAGGACGTTCTCACAGCTATCGTTAGCCGATGAGATAGAGTGGCTTTTGTTTGGCGGGCAGGGGAGAGTTCCCGGGTTTCTGGAACATCTGGAGCTACAGACCTCTGGAGAGCTTAGCCCTGAGTGACGCTGGGGCAACAACATCTATGGCCAAAATCTGCCAGCCACAGCTGCCTGCATGTGGCTGTGAGGGGATGAAGTGGCACAGGATCTGTCCGCAGGGAGTGAGAAGGGTACTGTCCCGGCTTGCTGCCTAGAGGAAAGAGAGATCACACCCAGGTAGTTGAAATCAGCTTAACATCCCATTGGAAACTTCTCCTTTCTTCCCGTGCAATCTGAGAAATGCTGTTAGCTGGGAACGGGGTGGTTAATAGTTTAGGAATTTCAAGCATAGAACTCTGATGGTCTTCCATTCTTTCCCCATGATTCAGTCTTTCTCTGGCTTCATATGAAAGAAAGATATTGTCTCTACAATGATTTGCTCCACACCTGTTCCCTAAAGATCTGCTTGTCCCAAATGCGACCTCATCCATACTCACCCTGTTTTTCCAAAGTGTGCTGATCACAGGTGTTACAAAGCTCACAATTTACAGTCAGTATTGAGCTAAAGGCCAACAGAGCAAAGAGAGGACCCAGGTGTGCTCCTGACTGGGTTAAATGTCTCCTTTGTGGGACTGGGCTGTTTTTCGCTTTGAAGCTGGGATTAAAGTTTTGCTCCATTTTTATATTTGTGGAGGAAAGTTCCTGTGATGTTGCCCAGTAGCTCTGCCAAGGAGGGAAATGGGTGTTATTCTTATTCAATTAAGGAGTCCTCTGCAAATGAGTTTAATGTCATGGGGTCTGCAGAGCCTGGACTTGACCGAACATGCCACCACCCTGTTCTTCTGAAGGGATGCCTCAGAGAGTGCCAGGACAGCCTCCTCCTGTTTCAGTGAGCAGCCAGCCATTCACTATTTCTGGGATAGTGAGTTAGATGTGGGCACTAACTCTCCCTACTTCTCAGCTCCCCTCTGTAGCACGGGAAGCCTGGTGGTGGCATGGAGAATGTGACCTTCTTGTTCATCACCTATGTTGATTTACAAGAAATATATAAGGAAACCTTATACTGGACCCATACGAGTGAAGGAAAACTGAGAAAGAGCAAGAGGCTTGCTCAGTGGGTTGACCGGCATGTCTGTCTCAGTCTGTGCACGTGTCTGCTTCTCGCTTCCTTACTTCTTCGTGTCTCTGTCTTTCTCAGTCACTCTCTGTCTCTGACTCTTTCCGTACCTTCCTTGCTGTATCTCTCTCTCTGTCTTTCTTGCTGTGTCTTTCTATGTGTGTTGCAGTATGTCTGTCTCTTTCTGTCTTGTTTCTCTGAGCATATGTGAGCTCCAGCTGTGTGCCAAATACTATGCTGGATTCTCAGATTCTAAAGACAAGTAAGACGCTGTGAATAATAACAGTAACAATCGCAACTGGCATTGTTGCTAGTTGCTTGGCATGTACCAGATTCTGTGTTAAGAGCTTTATATGTTATTAAACTTAATTCTCACATCAGCTCTCTGTGATGGTTACAACATTACTCATTTCATAGATTTATAACTAGCCCTAAGTCATGTAGCTTATAAGGGCTTAGGTCTGTCTGCCTCAAGAGTCCATATTCCTAATTGCTACCTCATTTGCCCTGTAGCAGTTAACTTGAGTTCCTGGGGACTACAGGCTTCCTGTAGGAATGTTTTATGATATTGAACTGATTCTAGGTTACTGGTCTGTTCCAGGCCTAGGAAGCAACATGCAGCTGTGAAATTTAATTGAGTGTGTGTGTGTTTGTGTGTTCGTGTGTATGTGTGTGAGAGAGAGATGCTAAGACAGAGACATAAGAGGAAGGAAGACAGAGAGACACAGACACAGATGGACAGACATAGTAACCAACCCTTGATCAAGTCTGTTGCTCTCTCTCTCTCTCAATTTTCTTTTATTAGTATGGGCCCAGTGTAATGTTTCTTATGAATCAGCATGAATGATGAGCAATTGTGTCCAGTGCTATGTTGTGTGTTGTGGGGAATATAAAAGATTGTCAAGAATTTGGCAACCCTGATGTACAGAGAAACTTAAATATGTAAGAGCTTTTACATGTACAACAGAACCATCATTTAACCACCTCTTATGGGTTTAACATAGCTGATTCAGCACAGCCTTTGGAGTTGGACTGATGAAATTCACATCCCAGCTCCTCCACTTCCTAGTCGTGTGACTCTGCGTAAATCACTGAACTTCTCTGAGCCTCAGTTTTCTGATCTGTAAAATGGCCATAGTAATGGTACCTCTTTTATGGAATGCTTGGGAACTTTTAAAGCGATGACGCCCAAAAGTGTTCAGCACAATTAACTTCAGCCATTTTTATGCTATGAATAGTGGTAGTAAAGTTAGTCTAATTTAAAGTCTAAATAAAATCATCTGCTGTTAAGATGTAGTGGCTGCATTGTCCTACTTTCAGGACTCAGAGACCTAGTTTCAGGGAGAGCTTTCCTCAAGCCAAGCACTGTGGTGACCTGGAATCTCCAGCCCCGATGCCGACAATCTGCTTATTAAGCAGACACTGCTCTGTCACTGAGCGTTTCTGAGTCTAGGAAAGCGCTGCCTCGTACTCCACTGTGGATGTGCTCCCTCCCCTGAGTTCCTGCGTAGGATCTATTTCGAATGTGTAGTGAAAAGAGAGAGAGCGAGAAGATGAAGGGGGAAAAAAAAAAAAGAAGAAGAAAAGAGGAGGACAGAAAATGGGCAAATCACTTAAGTAAAATTTGCCCTGCAAAAAAGTCAGAGCATCTTGGTCCTATCTTGCTCTTGCCCTCCTCAAATCAGGTGCCCTTTCCTGAACACGCTAGGCATTTTTACATGCTGGTGCATTGGATGACATAGTTCCCTCTCCCCAGAACACCCTTGCCTTCCCTTCCCTGACATTTTCAACTGTCAAAAGCCCAGGAACTGTGTTAAGTAGCTTCCCCAACACCCGCAGATAGAATGAATGCTCCCCTCTTCTGTAGAAAGCCACTTTGGAAACACCCCTATTATGGCCATTGTCACAGTCTGCCTAATTAGAAGCACGATGTCTGTCCGCCCCTGTAGACTGGGAGCTCTTTGCAGGCTGGCAGTGTCGTCTCTGCTTTGTGCTCTTATCAGCTGGGCTGAGCCCCTGAAGATTCTGGTGGGAAAGACTGAGAGAGCCTTTTGCCATTTGTCATGTTCCAGAGCTTTCTTTCCTTTGATAAATAGTTACCAGGAGAGCCTGACCAGCAAGGCTGAGGTATTCCCATCCCACAACGAGGGACTAGACAGAGCATGGCTGTAGATTTGTTTCGTATTTTAGATATGGCTAGTATTACGTCAGAATAATATTTGCAGCCTTGTTACTTTGAAGTACCTCTGGCAGAGCCTAGAGGAAGCCCACTTCTCAAGCCCAAAGCAGATGGGAAAAGTTGTGATTGGATACTGTCACTGTCAATCATCTTCAATGTGATCTGGAGGCGGGTCACCTGAAGAGAGTAGCACTTTCTAGGTGGTGTTCACCATGCTTGACTGTGCACAGATCTTGCTGGTTCACCCTGTCTAACTTGGGGGATCTTGACCGTCCATTTAGACTTTTGAAATGTTGAATATTTAAGGAGAGAAGACTTGCATTAAAAGTCTGATAAACTAATATACTAATATGAGTATAATATAAAATATAAAAAAGTATAATATAGTATGTTACTAATTAAAATATAAACAAATATAAGTAATGTCTAATTATTCCTTAATAGTGAGTAGGAAAAAGAGAGTTTGCTATAAAGCCCTTAAGACTCAGAGTTCAGAACCTCTTGCAACTTAATTTATAAGAAGAACATGCTGATCATTTCTGGGGCTTGTGGGAGAAGGAAGACTGCCAGGATTTTTGGACAAAAATGTCCCTAAAACCCCAGGATACAGTACAATCACATACTTCAGGGCAGGTAGTTGGGGAATGCTCACTGACAAACACAAGTTTCTGTTGTTTAAAAATGTTCCTTGTGACAGACTGCCACGTCCGTCATTTTGACAGGAGATGAGCAAAGCCACGATGTAAGCTGAGGAACTAGTTTTGCATGGCCTGAAGTCGAGTATCTTCAAATTTCACCATTTCATCACTTCACGACTTCGTATATCTGAATCGCACGCTGATTCATATCCTGGGCAGGGATTTTAACTCCTGGACTGACTGTGAGCTCTGGGCAGGTGGCAAGCGTGGTGATGCAGGGTCGGTGAGCCGAGGAGTCGAAAGAAAGATTTCTTAGACTCTTAAGATCTGGCAGTAGTGCTCTTTTATTTAGAGAATAGTGTAGCATGGGGACAGGACCCATGGGCAGTCAGAGCTTCTGCTGCTGCCACTTCTGCTGCCCCCGCTGGCATGGGGACAGGGCCCATGGGCAGGCAGAGCCACTGCTGCTGCCTCCGCTGGCATGGGGACAGGACCCATGGGCAGGCAGAGCTGGTGCATGGGGACAGGACCCACGGGCAGTCAGAGCTCCTGCTGCTGCCCCGAGTTGAGGGTTAGGGCTAAATTTAAGGCATAGGTATGTGAGTCATCTCTTTATGAAGACAAAGGAAAGAACATGAAAAAAAGTTAAAATGGTATCACTGCAGGTGGGGTCTGGTCATTGGGTGATCCCATGACTTTTAGACAAGAATCAAATCGGATTAAGTAAAGGTCAGAAGCCACCACCCTAAATCAGTTACATGAGATTGCCAGACAGCAACCAACTTAAGTTCTTGCCTTCCCCATTAAGAGTTTCTAGGGATAAGGTCATCTCTCTTCTTCTTCCTGGTACAGAGAGGGAGGCACCTTTTACAGATAGAGATTTACCTTGCAAATGTAAATGTGTCCCAACCAGGGCAAGTTCCATTCCCCAGAGCCTCCTTTCCTGTCCCAGTTTATCGAAAGCAATCAGCCCCAAACAATCCCGATGCCAAAGAGACATATCCTGGGGTGGCCAAATTCAGGTCCCTACAAGGTCATCCCCCCTTCCTTCACAAATGCAAATGTCTCTCAAAAGGGCAAGCAAAATTCCAGTCCTCGGAGCCTGCTTCTCATCTGTAGTTTTAAAAGTAACAAGCCTAAAATCCTCATCATAAACCATTTTAAAATTAAGCAGCCTAAAAATCCTCATCAGTGGGGTTCTACTCACTTGGCCTCGACTAACTTTAGCCAAAGAGCCTGGGGCTCCGGTGTAGGCTTGAGAGTCACACAAAACGGTATGGGGTCTCCCTAGCCCCTGATCGATTGAGGAAATACCATGAAACCCTTTTTCCCATTGACCATTGAGAATTCCATACTGGATCTGAGATCTGCTAAGAATGAGTTCTCATCTCTTTAGTTTAAGTTCAGTTTTCCATCTTAATTTGGCCATAGTAGAGTGAACTCCCATGTGCCTTTATCTACAGTGCTTCTGTGTTTGGTAGGGAGGGAG